CCTCAGCCTCTCCAAGAACCGGGTTACAGGCCTATGCCACCAGTCCGGGTTTCAAGTTTTGTTCCAATGAAAGGCATTGGATTATTTCAGTGTATTATAGTAGGTCCCATTCGTTTTGTAGTTTTTTTGCACAGACTTATTACTTACCCTAAAATTCTATCTTCCTGGCTCATATTTCTAGAAATTTAATGAATATGTCTAATATACTTCCCTGTGCCTTTCATACTAAGGCAAAATGTATCAAGGTAGACCTTTTCTTTCCTAGGTCTAAATAGAAAGAAACCATACACTTCCTTGAAGAGAGAAAGAGATTAAATAATTTTCCCTTCTATATTTTCTTAAAGCTCAGGGGCTTTATGTATAAGAAAGGAGTAGTTATTTGTAACTTAAATGAAGTAGCAGCTAGCCTTAAAAGTAGCCCATTCATAAGTATGCTTATTTGGACTGCTGTTCATTTATCCCAAACAAAATCAGTAACTCATAGGATTAAAAAACTTGTTATATGTTATTATTTGGTATACTGATGATCATTTAAAAGTAAAGATATTGTCGGGTGTGCTGGTGCACGCCTTTAATCCCAGCACTTGGGAGGCAGAGGCAGGCGGATCTCTGTGAGTTCAAGGCCAGCCTGGTCTACATAGTGAGTTCCAGGACAGCTGGGGCTACAGGGAGACCCTGTCTCAAAAAGACAAAAAAAAAGGAGTACGTGCTACTTACTAAAAATACTTTGTAGGGCTGGAGAGATGGCTCAACTGTTAAGAGTACTAGCTGCTCTTGTAGAGGACCCAGGTTCAGTTCCCAGGACTCACATGGCAGCTAACAACCATCCAGAACTCTGGTTCTAGGGGATCTGATGCCCTCTTCTGGCTTTGCAGGTATTGTAGGCACAGGTGCAGATACATACAGGTAGGCAAAAACACTCATGCTCATTAAGAAAGAAAGAAAGAAAGAAAAAGAAAGAAAGAAAGAAAGCCACTTTTTTATTTTTTTTCTTTTTGTGGCAAGGTCTCACTGTGTAACCCAAGTTGTCATGGAGCTTATTAGACAGACCAGACTCAAACTTGCAATCCTGTCTTAGCTTCGCAAGTGCTCAGATTACCAGTGTGAGTTGCTGCACCTAGTCTGAAAATCCATATTCCCAACAAAGAAGCAATCAGCACTGATTTCAGAAAACCGATTGCTGACTGCTTGGTTGAGGGTGCACTGCCATGGCTAGTCCTTATTTTGTTCATCCTATATGGCCAGCTGTTGAATACAGACCCCAAACAAAATAGAAATTATGAACAGGAATAAGCCAGGTGCAGCTTTAGCACATCTGTTGTAGAAAATGAATTTTTCTTCCTGTGATACCTGGCACATTTAAGCACAATGGAGAGAGGCACATGGCACATGAGGTCCCTTGACCTAGAATCTAGCTCTACCACTGACCAATCTGAGATCTTGGGCAGATCACAAACTCATTGCATTCTCTGAATTGGTCTCCATACTTGTCAAATGAGCAAATACTTGCTTTCTTTAGCTTCCTTAGGGTAGTTAGGAGATTCTAAAGGGTTAGGGAAGAAACAGATTTTGTAAGAAGCTGCCCAGTCTTTCCAGAGACTTTTCTTTAAAACATGATCCCCAGTTCCAGGATTGACTCCCTCTTCTGACCTCCCTGGGCATTGCATGACACAGGTGCACTTATATACATTCAGGCAATACACTCATATGTATAAAATAAAAATAATAAAATTTAAAAATATTTAAAGAATTTATGACCACTAAGCCAGCTCTTCAGAGGATAGTAGCAGGACCACTTTGGTCTGAAGAGAACTGAAATAAAAAAAAAAAAAAAGAAGAAGCAGGCATTACTGAGTCCTTACAATAGGCCAGGTTCCAGTTAAGTGATTTTTATATATTTCCATCTTGTTTAATCCTTACAAGAAGTCTGTGATTTAGTTATCACGCCCTACACTTACTGATCAGAAAACTCAAGAATGAAAAAATGTATGATAGTGTGAATCCTCATTCATTCATTGAATTATGAATACTTGGTGTCAGGAAAAATAATTCTGAATATAAATGCAGATGTCCCTGCTCTCAAAGAACTCAAAGAACTCAGCTCTTGGGGGGTGTGGGTGTGGTTTGGAGCGTCCCAGCTATCAAAGGGCAAAGGGGAATTTTATTTAGTTTCATATTGCTCAGCTTCTATCTTTAAGAATTGATGTCTTCCTGCCCAAAGATCCCTAGTCTCCTCACTAGGTCCCAGACCCTGAAGCTACCTCTCCTGCCCATGGGCCTCCCCACCCTGGGCTGACAGTCTAGGTCACTGAGGGGTAGAAGCTTGTTTGAGGGTATGATTATGTGAGGTGAGAAAGCCTCTGGGAAGCCTCATTCCTTGGTGAGTCAGCGTTCATCACAGCCATTACCTAATGCCAAACTGGGGTGGGTTCCGGAAGTTGAAGTCAGTGAAACAGCCAAGACTCACAAGTTTGGAATGCCAGGTTTCTGGAAGCAAGGGGCTGGCCAAGTTTCCACAGTCACTGCCGGTTTCCACTTGTCCATTCTCTTTAAAGAACATAATGGGGGCCCACTCTCAGAGGCTGATATTTCAGAGAAGGGATTCCTTTCAAACACCCCAAGTTTAGTGACCTAAATTAACTCACTGCATTTTCCCTTAGAGCAAAATACCAGAGCACGCTCCCTCAACCTCTGCATATTTGTTTTTATTTGTTTGTAAGAACTCTATTATTTTGAAAACTGGAAGTAAAAGGCAGGAATTAAGGTTCTTTCTTAAATGAATCATGTCAGGGTAAGTGAACAACCAACAAAGACAAATTTCTCTTTAGAACTGTGTTTCCCTCATGAGAAGGAATGAGCTTGGGTAATAGTTATCAGCAACGACACTATCACAAAATAGAGGCAACTTGAAAAAGCATATAGCACCGTTTTTGAATTAATCTCAACAAAACATAAATTTGAATCCGTTTGAGTTTCAAGATCTAATTTATAAGAAATACAAGGGACAGGGAATCTACAAGAACACAACCAGGAAAATTCAAGTTTCAGGAAAAGCCATGGGAAAACAGTTTCTTAGAGAATTGCAATGGAAAAGAGATAAAGTGAAACACAGAACCCACAGATGAAGATTTCGAGGCAAGCCAACCACTAACAACATACTCCTTACTTTGATCTAGAGTCAAATGCATAGTAAAAAAAAAATGGTCAAATAGGGAAACGCGAATGTTGACTGTTTCTTTTGAGGTGGTGTGAAGGTGTAATTTAAAAAAGAATCCATCTGAAATGTGTGTGAAGTCTATGCCATCTTAGACTTTCTTTGGAATAATCCAGAGGGGCTTAGAATAAGTAGATGGAAATACTACAAGATTGGCCACAAGGAAAAAATGGTTTATGCTGGGCAGAGCAACAGAGACATGGGAATGCTCTGGCCTGCTCACTTCTGCAAATGATGAGAGACTTGCACAACTTAATGAGAAATGAAACTGTGGAGGAGTTACTTGAGAGACTGGACATGGATGTATAACTTCCCAACAATAAAAAGGTTAAGATATAAAAACCGTCAATTTTTGAATAGGCTAGGGAAGCGGTAAATGAGAAGGGTCCTAGACAGAATTCAGAGAAAACACAAAATTAGATGACTGACATGCATCCACATATGCCAGCAATGAAAATAAATGGGAATGGATTAAAATCACTTGTTAAAAGACAGATTGAGGGGCTGGAGAGATGGCTCAGCATTTAGGAGCACTGGCTGTTCTTGCAGAGGATGTTGGCTAACAATTGTCTGTAACTCCAGTTACAGGGGATCTGATGGCTTCTTTTGTCTCCACAAGCATTGTATGTACATAGTGCACTTACATCCATGCAGGCAAAACATTTAATACACATAAAATATAAATATTTTAAAAGGCATTGATTTAAAAAATATTTTATTTTTATTTTATATGTACGTGTGTATTGCCTGCATATAGGTAAGTGCACCCGTGTCATGCAATGCCCGCGGAAGACAGAAGAGGCTGTCAGATCCCCTGGAACTGGAGTTTCGGACAGTTTTTGGCTGTCATGTGGGTGCTGGGATTCGAACCCGGGTCTTCTGCAAGAGCAGCCAGTGTTTTTAACTGCTGAATCATCTCTCCAGCCCTAAAAGGCATTGGTTTTTAAAAAAATTTAAAAATATGGCTATCTGCTTTTTACCAGAGGGAACTTTTTTTTTTTTTTTTTTTGTCTTTTTGAGACAGCCTCAGCTGGCCTGGAACTCACTATGTAGGCCAGGCTGGCCTTGAACTCACAGAGATCCGCCTGCCTCTGCCTCCCAAGTGCTGGGATTAAAGGCGTGCACCACCACACCTGGCCAGAGGGAAATTAAAAAAATATATTATTCTTATTTTATGTTTGTGAGTGTATTGCCTGCATGTATGAGTGCACTGGTGTCATGCAATGCCATGGAGGTCAGAAGAGGGCTTCGGATTCTCCTGGAATTGGAGTTAAGGACGGTTCGCAGCCGCCATGTGGGTACCGGGAATAGAACCCGGGTCCTCTGCAAGAGCAGTCAGTGCTCTTAACCACTGAGTCATCTCTCCAGCCCCCACCAGAGGGAAATTTTTACAAGAAAAAATAAAAAACAAACCCTGAAGAAATAGAAAATGATACCCTGGGTGAATTAAATGATAAGCAGGAATTAGGCACAGCAATTCCCTAAGAATTAAAAGGTACTGTGGTTGACCTGGCAGCTAAGTGCTCACCGGTGGCCTTGACACGAGCAACTTCGTCACCCAGTCCGCCTAGGGGTGAACAGTGCATGAGGGTGGAAGAAAGGAAGAGGAGGAACCAAGTGGAGGGAACAGACTTCCAGTTAGGGGATTTATCATCTGTCGAACCCAGATAAATAATAAAGAATCCAGAATAGAGGGTGATGTAGGAGCAATGGACCATTCCTAGAGGGGGATGTCCAGGGAACCTAAGACACTAGGGGAGACAGAAGCAGACAAGAATACTTTCCATTGTTTCATTTCTAATTTATTAATTTGTCATTACACAAACAGTACATGAATGCATATTCAAAAACATCAAATATTAACAGTTTCAGCTAATGCACACCACCAAACTACTGTTAACAGTTTGGTTAGCATCCTTCCAAACCTTCTCTATATATTTATATTGTACACAAATAGGTACTTGTAGAAGTACACTGTACAGTATTATGTGTGTGGCATGTATTAACATCAACAATATTGTGTGTATTACATGTATTTCCCTTCAACACCCCCCCAACTTTTTAACAAACTTAACATGGCATCCTAGAGATCTATGTCAGCACACACTCCTACTTTTTTCACTGATACCTAACATTTTATAGTGTATCACACATCCCACTGTCTTGATAGATATCTTGACTTTTCCAATATTATACTCTTAACAAGCAAAGCTTTTGTCAAGTTGCCTCATGGACAAATGTGTTTTGTTAGGGTATATATTAAAAATTGAACCTGTTGGGTCACAGGTATGTAAAAATCTAAATTTCAAAGGATATTACCCAGTTGCCTTTAAAAGTGGTTGTTCGAACTTGTGAGATTCTTGTTCCTCCACACCCTTCCCAGCTCATACTTCATTAGGATCTGAGATAGTTTGCATTTTCATGTGCTTTTGCTTATTTTGCTAGTTGAGCATCTCTTCATTTATTTGTAAAACTACTGGCTTACATGCATCATCAAGGCTTTGAGTTTCAAAAGTAAACTCACTACCAATCTAGCTGGAGTTTTAAATTTTTTGAGAATCTAAGCTTACTTTCTCCCTTATGTTGTCTCAATACTCTGTTGACCAATTCATTTCTTTCCCTATTGATCTGAAATGTCACATTTGCCATTTACTCAACATACAGACTTGTATTTCTCTCTGAATTCTTAGTTCTAGTAGAGATTTTTGGTATCAGGTACCTGAGTTATTTGCTGAATGGTAGCTGATTATGTCAGCCAAAATGCGTGTGTTGCCTATGAGAGAAGACAATATAATTCAAAACACGTAAATTCTAGTCAAGTTAGGTTAAATTAGACCCATTATTTACAAACTTAAAGAGTATTAAAAAATGTGTAAACTTCTTTCTCAGATTAACTTTTTTTTAGGGGGTGTACAGGCTCAGTGTAGAGGTGGAAGGTTTTCTTTTGCCTGTTCCCTGTTCTAGAAGCATTATTTGATACTAAAGTTTTTTGGTGATTTAAAGCTATTTCCTGGCCAATGGCAAAGGGTTTCACATGACACAGCAAATTACTGCTGATTTTTAAGAACCTCTTGTTTAACAAACAATATGAGGTCTACAAACTGATGCTGATCCTAAGTTAGTGTGGTACTTCAATTTGTGCCTTCATACTGGACTCAGCTCCTAGGGGGCAGACCTCATGTCACATACATCCTTTTATCCTCAAACATCCACTATAGTGCACAGCACCTAAATTGGGATAGAACTGAATTGTATTTCAACATTTCTAAGAAATAAGAATAAATCCCGAAGTATTTCTGCAAAACCTATTTTGGTGCTTGATAAAGTTATACATATTTTTGTCTATGCAAGACCTTCTGAAGTGATTTATAGGATTTTTTTTTAGCAGGAAACTAGAACTAGACACTGGCCTAGTACATCATCTGTGGCAAAATGTTCCTTTTATCCACGAACTTCCTCTGGCTTATCTATCTACAGATGTGCTGCTTGTGAAATGAAAGCAAACACTGGTCTGGAAACATTCTTGATTGCAGTAGGCAAGAATACTTTACAATTCTTTTATGATGTAGGCATGCTTAAAAGGAAGAGAGCTCTGCTTTCCTCATGGGAAAGCTGCCTTGTGGCATTTGCTTGGTCTTTACAATTAAACTATTTTTCCAAAGTTAGCAGATGTCTTTCAAAGGGATACCTATGGCTTCTGTGGGCATGTCTTTGTCTTAGTCTGTAAACTTAGGTACTCTGGATCCATGACATTAGGTAGTGGGAAACTCCTCCAACTGCCTTATTTATCAGTTTCTCTGGCAAGAGGAAGGAAAAATAAAGCTAACTCACCATCCCGGTATATTGGACAAATTCAATGGCCAAGTAGAAAATAACAGCTTCTTACTTTGCCATTACCAATCACCAATCCCAAAAGGCTGTCTTGTTTTTGACGATTCCATTAAAAAAATAGGAGGGAAAAAAAAAAGAGTAGAGGTCTGTGAACTTTGATTTGCTTTGTATAGTGCCTCACTTAGAACTTCCTACTTTTGAATATAGCACGTCAGGCTACAGTAGTCCACTAAGGGAGCCCTTTAGAGTAACCCTACCACCTACAAAGGGAATACATGCATTTAAAGAGCAGATTTTGATAGAGAAAGTCAGTGGCCTGGTATAGAAATGAGACAGGGATGAACTCTGCAATGTCAAAAGGCGGGGGGGCATCGATCTAAATAAATATCAGAAAATACTAGTAATGCTAGAAAATAGAAACATGGGTTATTGGGTGGCTTACAGGAGGTGGGAGAAAAGCTCATTGTGCATAAACTGAGGACTCACAGAAAATGTGGTAGGGCTGGCCTATGTCAAAGAATAAAACGCAAAATTTAGGGAACTCAGTTCTGACTTGGATTGTCAGTACCTGCAGTGAGGTCAGAACTCCTATTATCCCTTCCAGGGAGCAAAATCACAGAAAGCTGTGGAATTACGCAAATCCTAGCCACCACAAAAGGATTAAGTTTACCTTGGGCTGAATTTACAGGGGCATAAAATGATCAAGGTCCTCTATTTCCCTTACTTTTTTGTTAAATTCTTGCAACTCAACAGGGAATAAAGACATTGATTTTGTTGTGATTCATGGCTACCAGACATAAGACTGAATCAAAGTTAAGTATTGATCGAGGCTTTTTTCCCTGAAGGGGCAAGAAAAAAAAACATCTGGTATTGGAATGGAATATTCATTGAAAAATGGTAAAGTTCTAACACAGACTTCTTTCATAAACTTCACAAAATTTGCCTCTTGTCTACCCATGTTTTTCTTTTTTTGATCGTCTAAATGATCAAAAATTATTTGTCTCTAGTTTCAACCTGCCAGTCTACCCCCCACCTGCCACTGAAATGAATTGAGCACATCTCACTGCTAACAATCATTCGATGAATCTTAAAAAAAAAAAAAAATAAAAAATAAATAAATAGCTGGGTGTGGTGGCGCACGCCTTTAATCCCAGCACTGGGGAGGCAGAGGCAGGCGGATCTCTGTGAGTTCAAGGCCAGCCTGGTCTAGATAGTGAGTTCCAGGACAGCTGGGGCTACAGGGAGACCCTGTGTCAAAAAGACTAAACAACAAAACAATGCCCCAAATGCCCAAACCACCACAGTTGGTGGGACAGTCATTTCAAGTTTCTCTCTCACAAAATTCTATGGCTGTCTTGAGGAACCTCTTGATGCTTTAAGAACTTTGTATAGGGTTTTCTTAGGCTTGGAATGCCCTTCCTCTTCACCCCTGAAGACTCAGATGTCACCTTTCAGGAAACCTAGCCTGACAAATCCATCCCTGATTGTATTTCTTGACACACTGTACTGGTTGACTTGCCTACAGCTTCAATTAAACTTTAAGGGTTGAGCTTTTTCCTTTCAACAGAATTAAGTAGAATTCAGACATGTCATGAAGACTTGCTTCCAGAGCTATAAAGCTTTATCTAACCTAAGAGTTAAAATAGCCAACACTTATTTCCCCAAACTTTGTTTTGTTGGCTGCAGTGAGCTTATGTTGGAACTACCTAAAAATAATTTCTCCAGGCAAAGTTAGGTTTTAGTTGTACACGCATTAACCATATCAGAAAATTAAACCAAAAGAAAACTTATGTAGTAGCACCTTCATCTATAGGCATTGGACTGAGAAAATTAAAGGTAGATGACATCCTGTAAGACTATGCCCCCCAAATTGGAATTTCAATTAGTTAATATTCTAGCTACTTAAGAGACTCTAACCCCAAGGAAGATCTAATCTAAATGATGTTTACATTTCAAACACAAGAACAATACCTTGCCCACCTTTATTTGTTCCTGACAAAGTTTAGAGTTTAGTGTACCTTATATGAACAAGTTGAGATGTAAACTTCATTGCACAGCTTTAGGTGGGGGACAGGGCACGGGAATGAAGAAAGCTCTGGGTTCTGAGGGAAGGAGTGGGTAACAGAATACAGGCACAATTTTGCACTTTTGAACATTGCACCTTGAGTTAAGCAACATGCCATTGAACTGGAGTTTATTAATATTTAAAGCTCTTAATATACATTGCCAAATTACGCTCTGGAGAACACAGGAAAGTTCACCTACGACATCGATTTCTGCCATTTAAGAGACATAACTGGTTAAAACAGTAATTTGCATTTCTTAGGTTACTAGAGCTTGAACCTTTTGAAATCAACTTTACTTCTTCTGTAATCATTTGTTAGGATTTTAAAAAATGAGAAGCAATTGCTGTTACCATTTTAACCCTTAAAATACCAGCCATTTCCTCGGTGACTACTATTCTACCTTAGAGTGCTTTTTTTTTATCCCTAGAATAAAAACTCACCTCTAACAAAAATCCCTGCCCCTTTTTTCAGTGCCAGAGACCAAACAAGGACCCTGCGCATCCTGGGAAGCAGTCTCCCACTGAACTATATCCTACCCCCATCCTCTTCTAATATGAGCTTTCCTTTGTCTGTATGAAGTACCGCACTATAGCAATGGATGGGCACACCCCGAGAACCTTTTGGCTAACATTCCAACAACTGTTTCACATTCTACCTTGCCTATGGTGGCTCTACTAGAATATCACTCTATGTCCTTAGGGTTACACACTCAAGTCTATGTACTTACCTACTTCCTTTAAATATTTCTAATGTTACTAATTAACATTAAAATTCTGTTTACCGAACAGTTTCCTGTAGCACAACTAGAATATAAAATATTTGGTGATGTCATATACATTTAAATTTTATGCCTTTTGTTGGTGGCTAAAATGTTTCAAATAGATAAAGAACATTTAACTTCTTTTAACATGGAGAGCTAACTATGTTCCTCATTAACTCTTATTAGCTAGTGGGCTACAGATACAGGACATGTTAATTTCTACAGGCACCTTTCTGAATTCAAGTAAAAGTTTTGGTAGACGAGGATTTCCTATTTGTATCATTAACAGAGTAAGAATATTGAGTACAAATATTGCTCACTGTTCTTGCATTCTTTAAATTATTTTACTTTGAAAATTTAAGAACTATCATTGTCATCAATAACATCATAGGTTTTCATTTAAGGAATATTTTAAACTGTGAAAATACAAATCTAGTCAAATTTTGAACACATATAGAGCCAAATATTTCAACAAAACTGCAGTTTAATTTCAGAAAATGTGTTAAAATATATTTTTTACATCAATTTCTGACATACACTTAATGTGTTAGTATACACAAATGATGCTTTCTCTTGAAACTGTATTTATGAAATGTACATTTTAATTTAAATACTCAGTATACACTGCACTTAATCTGCATGTTGCATTTATTAAATACATTAAAATCTGCAATGTAACAAAACGTTTTCTGCATATGAAATTCAAAACACCATTTTAAATGAACAAAAGATGGCTCACTTCATTTTTGTTTTTTGTACAACTAGTGTATTACACACTAGCTCAGTTCCACCATACGACCTGTTCGTTCTTTATTTGACATTGTTCACAGACTAGTACATAGTACAATAAGAGTGCTGGATAAAACATGAGGTACGAAAGTGGTTCAGAGACTGTAGGTCATGCAGATCATGCTAGACAGCAAAGGAAATTGTGACCGAGAAAACACGAACTAAAAATACATAAAGAATGTGCATTATGAAACAAAACAAAACAAAACTCCATTACACAGCTTTGCTTCTTTGGTTACAAAGTAGGTTGAACAATTCACAGCTTTTTATTCCCACCCCCCCAAAAAAAAAAGAAAAAAAAAAAAAAAAAAAAAAAAAAAACAAACAAGAAATGTTGAAAAGCAGAGGAATCGTGGCAATTTCTATTAGAAAGTAGAAACAAATGAACAGTTTTCTTCATGAAAATAGCCCAATTATTTATTATATCACAATAACTGGTGACTACCTGTACAGGTGCACTATGTTCTTCATACTTACACTATACAAAATTTACATTCAAGCTGGATCTTTACTAGTGAAAATAAATACCAACGGTAAATTGCCATTAGTGTTAGAAATGTGCCAGGATTCTTTTGTTCAATTATTGCCTAAACATTTTATTTATTAAATGTAATCCTGTCTTTCAATTCCTTTACTGATAGTTACTCAAAAAAATTAAAAAAAGTTCTGTGACATTGTTCATGTACATTATGAAAATAGCAGCCCTGTAATAAATAAAACACAAAATAAATGAAAACTTACGTAGGCAAATGTTACTGATATTGAAAGAAAAGTGGCTCTTTCAAACTGTTATGTGGTAGGAAGGCTCAAGGTAAATCCATGGTAATAGGAAACATGGAAGAGCCACCAAAACTTCCCACTCATGCGCACCAGGTAAAATGCTGACTTTGCTTGCTTTAATAAACCCCATCTACTATTCTCCTTGTGTACTGATGACATAGAAGTGGACATCAACAGTGCTGCATGACATCTTAGAGAGAGGAAAAGCTCTTGTAGAATGATTGTCTAATACTGAAAAGGCCAAACACACGACCGAAGCATGGCTACTTGCTTTCGTATAAAGTGGAAAGAACACCAGTGGCACACAAGGAAAGATTGCTTTCAGTTTTTTCCTTAATGAGGCTTAAGAAAGCTTTATGCTGAGGAGACATTCGGCTGCTGTGGAGGTTGCGTTGGCTGAGGAGGCTGTGCTATCATTGCTTGCTGTTGAGAAGTGCTACCAGGATTGGCCTGTTGGGCTGGGAGCTGGGATAACTGATCATTGTTTGAAAGAGATTTTAACAGTGCATTTTCTCGTTCAAGTAAAGAGTTTCTTTCAACTAATTCTTTTATTTGTTCCTTTAGAACTTCCACTTCTTCTCTTACTGCATACATCAAATGGCTTTTCACCAGATCCTGTGAAAAACAAAATTACGAATGTCAAAAAGAGTAAGGAGAGACAAAACTATTTAGTTTTAGACTAGGTAGGTGCCTTATACACAAAGAGGTTTTCATAATTTTATTTTCAAAAATTATTTTCCTTCTCTTGAAGAGGTTTTCATAATTTTATTTTCAAAAATTATTTTCCTTCTCTTGTGTTTAATGTTCCTGCTGTATTTTGACTGGGCCTGTGGGAAATGGGGAGTCTCTTTTTTAACTAATGCAGAAAACTCTCATTTCTTTCAAAGTTTAGAATGAGTATGACAAGATGTTAGATTAAGAGACCAGAGAAGTAATAGTCCAGTGGAAAAGCTGATAGTCAACTAGTCACAGCACTATTTTAGAAATTAAAGAGCCATGTATTTTCCAACTTTAAATGAACAAAATGATACTACTTTTCAACTGAGAATATACTGCATTTAACTATGTCTACTTCACTCCAATGTCCCCAACCCATGGTAATAGAAACACAAAAATATTTGCTCAGTACTTGTGGACTAAAAATTTTCAATGTTCTAGCATCTTCTAAATTGCACTATCAAAAAATAAAATTTTTTTGGTTTGGTTTAAAGAAATTAGCTGTGGCTGTTAACTTGACAAACTCCAAATGCTTTATACAATCAACAATGAAATAAGAGAACTAAACACGTACTTACCATTGCTTGTTCTATTTTGTTGTCAATGGCTACAACACCTCCCCCAGATGCACTGGAAAAAATCAGAATATTTCATTAAATTATTCCTAAAGATTTAAGTGCCCTTCCAACTATTAAAGTAACGTAAAAGACATTTGTGTTTTACCTAAAACCAAACATGATAATTTAAAATAAGTTATTAAGTCTATTTTTACAATTTCAATACTCAAGACTTCTAACTTTTAACATGAAGATCTTGGAAAACGAATGACTTCTAAAAATCCTCTGTAGTCCCAATATTTATAATCTGCCTAATGACATATATATGCCACTTTAAAACTAACCCCCAATTTTATTTAGGAGTTCTCTTGAGTGGTCTTAATACATTAAAACTGAAAAATGCCTTTTTTGGGGGGGCAAACTATATTTTAACAACTAGGTTTTAAGTGTGTAGAAATGACTTCTAAAAACAATTTAGAGGACTTTTGGAAGGGCTGGTTGAGAAGGAATTCAATATTTTAGTAGACCTACATGCTTTGACTGTAGGTTATTTCCTGCAAAAATCAGTTTTTCTTGGAAATAATTCAAAATAGTCTAGCTATTACGTACATCCCAAGTTCAAATACCATCTTAGCATTTGTATGATAATGACACAAGATTAAATTCTTTGGTGGTTTGTACTTTCCCATGTATTAAGTAGTAAGAAGAGCAAGAATCTATAATACTCTTATTGGTATTTTTAAATTTTGAAAAAATATAACTAAAAAAATTTCTTATAAAGGAAAATCTGATACGTCCTTCTATCAGTACAAAAAAATCTTTTTGGTTTTCTGAATAAAACATTTCCAAATACTCTTGACAAAGTATACTGTACCTGAGAAGATTTTGGTGCTAAAATATCTGAAGACTATTTTACTTTGAATGGTATGGGCCCTTAGTACTATATCAGATCAAGGCTCAGAAATAACTCTGTTCCATGTAGTTGTGCTCTTTAGATTTGTAATCCAAGTAGGCCTGGCTATCCTCTTGGGTTCTGTTATTCAGAATTTGTGTGATCTGCAGCAAATCATTTATTTAACTTCCCTGAACCTCAGTTTCCCCATATGTAAAATGAAGGGATTAGTGTTCATACTTCAAAATGGACTTCCCACTTTGAAATCTTTGTTTATTTGAACACTAACAGCATTAGCCACAGCATACTACTTTACTTTTTGCTGCTGCTAAGACAGAAAGGGGCTCTGTATAATGAATATTCAGAAAGGATATTCGATCACTAACCAACACTATACACACACTGGCTTTCAATAGTTGTACAGGTGTGCAAAGTAAAGTAGGACTATACATAATTAAATTACAGACCAACTGTATAAACTATATGGCTTTAGTGTAAAAACTAATAAAAATATTTACCACAAAGAGAAAAGATGGGTGATAGGCATTTAGATTAGCATTTGCTTCAGAATCCTAGTTTATACTTTCTCTATTAGTACTTCTACCAAGAAAGAGTGCTACTTCATTTCATGACGTGAATACATTCTACTCCTTCAACACACTGGTTTAAACTACTACCTATAGTACCAGTTTTATACATTAACATTAAAAAATTGTAAAAGGGGTTTTTACTGCTTCATTTTCTTGTTAATTAAAATCAGCCAACGAGTTTCCAAATTATTCCTGTAGCTAAGAAATAATTAGCATGTTATTCTTTTTGAATGCTGATCTAACATTCTGGTCCAGAATGTTGCTTGCAGCAACAGAAGAAATGGGTTTATAAGATGGGTGTATAGAAAGTAAGTATCCTTAAAAGGTATTAACACTCCAGTTCTGTTGAGCATTGTACTGTAACAGAATTAGATCACAGATTTACGTTACAGATGAAATTACTACCATTCTAATAACCTTTGACTATTTTGAATGCTGTTAGTCAACAATTCAATTCCTATAACAATATTTTCAAAATAGCATGCACCAGAGTCATCTAAAGGTCTTGTAAACCCAAACTGCCGAACCAAAAAAATGTACTTATTTTCTAAAAAATTTATTTTTATTTTATGTGGATGAGTGTTATGCCTACATGTAAGTGCACCTGTGTTGTGCAGTGCCAGGAGGTCAGAAGAGGGCATGGGATCCCCTGAACTGGAGTTATGGACCATTGTCAGTCACCATGTGGGTCTTCTGTAAGAACAGCCAGTGCTCTTAACCACTGAGTCATCTCTCCAGCCCTCAAAAATGTACTTCTAACTAGTTCCCAGAAGGTGTTGATTCTGCTACCTGACCATGTTATGAAAACTGGCTTACAGTGCTGAAACTTACAGAAGAATGAACACAAACAAAAAGCCAAAGAAAATCCTATCCTATTTTTAAAACGTCTTGACTTAGTATATGAATTTCATGACCACTGCCTTAGACGGTCTCTTATCTTCCATATATATTATGGTCTTATGTAATATTTACAATCTGTGGAACATGTTTTCTCAGGTTTCCTTGATTTTGCAGAAACTGCTCCCTCATCTGGAGATGTTCCTAGTCCCAATTCATGTGGCTGTCTTTCACTTGCCCTTTAAGCTGTCTCAGTGCTTCCCTGCCAATTCTTCTGGGATGCTTTTTGATTCCCTAGAGTAATTATTCCACCCCTCCTTTGGTCTTGCAATATTCATACTTAGAAAAAAAGCATTATATATCTTAATCCTGTGAAGATTAAATCAGTTTAAATAATACTTGGCATAGTTCCTGGCTCACTGAATGTTCAATGCATGCCAGTGATTATTTCTACTATCCTAATACTACTGAAGTTGACTCTAGTAGATTGAACTTCTTGAGGGAGGTTCCATTATCTTTAGGGAAGAAGTGAGCATAGTGTTTGACACATAAGGGCTAGAATGCTTTTGACAGTAATTAGAGATGACAGTAATTTGATTTGAAACAACTAATGACTTGTTATTAAGAAGCCATTAAAATTCTTTGAATTCAGTAAGTTAGTTTTCAAAGTGAAGTTCCTTTGAAACAGATGCATAAGCATTACCTGGAAATTTGCTAGAAATGGATATATTTGGATCTTCCCTAGAACTACTGAATTAAGATACTCCTGGGATGAAGACAGGTAATGCATTTTAATAACTTCTCTAGGTGATCCTGATAGAAACTAAGCTCTGAGAACCACTGCTTTACACAGATACTTTATTAGTATCTTTATAATAAAGATAATAATATTGCAGTCCTAGGCAAATTGAGGGTATTATTCTATTTCAAGATCCCAGAACATGGCTTAAACTGTTTCAACGAAGGTAGTGCTTTCTATGGTGTTTGGTTAGCACAGCGATTCAGCTTTTTTTTGAAAATGGGAATGATCAATGACGCAGAATAATTTTCCCTTCAAGTCTGCTTCCATCATCTAATATTGTGGAATTATACCTTAATTTCTTTTTTTATTATTACATTCACCACTTTGTATTTTGATGCTTAAACAGTTTTTGAATTTAAGCTCAAGAGAAGGTTTTCTTTCTTTTTTTTTTTAAATCTGTACTATACAGTGTATATACCTATCATACAATTAGGTATCCCAAGTTGAACCATAAGAACGAACCATGTATTTCAGATTAAGGAGTGTGCATGTGCATATATACACACACTCAAACTGAAGTAAGTCCATTTTAAACCAAGTGCTATACAATTACTGACACAGAAACAGAGACAATGAAGAGCCTAGAATCTTGTTTAAGCTATTATTAAGTACAAAATAGAAATCAAAGGATGGCCTTCTATTATGGACCATTCTTTTGGGGGAAAAAATAAAATAATTTTGATTAGCATTTGTAGATAAATTAGAAGTTGTAGATAAAGAGGGTATGAACAGAAATACAGATTGTGGAAAGATAGTAAGAATGACTTAGCTATATGCTTAGCCCCGAGTTTAGTGTTTATAAAGCCAATTGCAATTGTATTCTCAGAAACAATAGAAGTCACATAAAACAGAGTGTGGCTTTCCATGCTGCACTTTTAATCCATCCCAACTGGCTCCCACCACAGCTTTTCCTCCCAGATTTCCTTACTCTTATATAAGAGATCATGATCACTTGCGGCTTCACTAAGAGGCGGCCAGAAATGAACCTCCCCATTCACAAGCTAAATCAGTGAGGGCAAGGTCATCTAACTTTATTTCACATTATTTAGTAAACGCTATATGAAATAATTTTTTTTGAGACAGGGTTTCCCTGTAGCCCCAGCTGGCCTGGACTTGCTTTTGAACTCACAGAGATCTGCCTGCCTCTGCCTCCCAAGTGCTGGGACTAAAGGCATGTGCCACCATGCCCAGCTAATAATTTTTTCTTTATCTGTAATAATGTAGATGGATACAAAATAGCTTTCTGCCTAAAATAAGACAAACATAAAAGACAGTACAAATTAATTTCTCTAAGTGGACATATTTTCACTACTTTGTCTCCTGTCTTCTCTATGTCAGTGTTAATGAACAAATCAATAGGGCAAAGGAGAAAATAACTGATGAAAAATCCACTTTATGGCAGATACACTATCTTAGTTACTCCTAACATAAGACTGAGGAACATCCTCATTTTATAAATGAGGAAACTGAGGCCAAGGAACTTACAATGCTAGGATTTAAACCTATACCTAATGTCAAAATATAAGAACTTTTTTTCCTAGGAGTAAGTCTGTGAAAGAAAGTACCTACCTATAGTGACCTAAAATAAATCACAAGCTGTACACATTAAAGAGTTCTTTAAATAAGTACCACTTATTATTGTTAGTTGTGGAACCATAAAGCATGGATCCAAAAACTAAACCATGTGTTTGCAACATGTTATTTATCTTATCTAGCACATTCTCAGAAGTAAGTAGTTCTGCTCTCAGAATAAAGGAGGCAACTTCTTAGAAAATGCACTTGCTCAGTGATCTTTGGACAGTCTAGTATAGTACCTATCTGCTAAGAACGAAAATGGTTTGGTTTATCAGAAAGTTAGTATTTTAAAATTCTGTGTATCCTCAAGTAGAAAAATATAAAAAAGTTACCTTGTTTTATTTGAAGGTCCTTCTAACTTTCTGAGTCACAATCAC